AGGTGGAGTGACTTCCCAGCTCTGGGAAAACACAGAGAGATCCACTGGTGTCCACTGATTTTTTGCAAAGAAAGATTGTTTTCCCCTGAGGAGCCAGATGACTGCAAGAAAAACCATCAGGTAGCCCTATTTGCCAGCAGCCTTGTCCCCAGCACCCGCTCTCGGCCCTGGGGTGTCATGGTCCCCGACAGCTGTTATACCCTCCAGTTCGGCGGCCTGTGGGTGTTGGGTCGTGAGGTCCTGGTGACAAGGCCATTGCCTCTCCCTGGCCTGGGCGGCCACTCTCACCAGGCTGAGGAACCAGGGCCAAGGGTCCTCTGCTCCGTCCACCCCCTCTTGGAAGTGGAGAGCCTGGTATTGGGTCAGGGATGATGGCTAGGCCTGTGCCAGCCTGGAGAACATGATTGATACCTCCAGTGGGCAGAGTGGGCCGCCTGTGTGGCCTCTACTGTGTGGCCCTGAGGAAGGTGTCCCCAGAGTCCAGGATCCTCAACAGCGAAAAAGCCCAGGAGGGAGGTCCATGCAGAGCTCTCACACCAAGGGTGTGCAGGCTGCAGACGGATTCGCATGTTCACTCAGCCTCCTGTTCAACCTCCAGTGGCTTGTATTGGGGTCTTGGGCGGGGCAGGCCGGGATGCACAGCCTGGAGCCTCCGGGGAGTAGCATCTCCCTGTCTCCATGTTCTGTTTACCTGGAGCCTTTGTAGACCCACCCGCCGACAGAGACCCCAGTGCCCACCTGCTTCCCTTGTGAGAGCATAGGGCAGTGTCCTGCAAGCCCACATGTCCATGCCATGGCTGCACCCAGAGCCCGCCTCACCTGCCCTGGCGAGTGTGTTCCATGCAATTTTTCTTACTGTGATAAAACTGACCATTTGGGTGTCCAGTTTGGTAGTGCCAAGCACATTTGCACTGCTGTGTACTGGCACACCATCCATCTCCAGAACTGTCGTCTTCCCAAGCTGACACTTGTCACCCATTAAACATGAAGCTCTATGGGGCTTTTCCATCTGCCGATCATGGCTCCCATCAGGACTCAGGGCAGTCCATCTGAGGACCCTGGCGCTGTTCTTTACAGCCACAGCCATCTCCACCCACCCGCCCTCCTCCACCTCTGACACACTAGTCTGTTTTGCAACCCACCGTTGTCCTCTCTAGAAGGCCCCGCGATTGAGCTGTCATCTGTGACCTCCCAACACAGCTTCCCTGGGCCGAGCCCCCTCCCAGTCTGTGGGTGGTGGAGCCTCCAGAGCGCACTCTGGTCATGGCCAAGTATTCACTGTATCCCTGAGTGCATCTTACTGGCAGTCATTTGGGCTTGTACCCAACACATGTGTCTATCTGAAGCTCATGTTTCTTCAGTACAGGTGGCCTTTGTCCCCCTCCCAGGGCCAGCACTGCCCAGGCACAAGCCCTACCTTCAAGGTGCACATCGGGGCGATTGCTGGGAGAGGCTGTGGTGGGGCTGCTCTTGGCTTTCCGACCGAGGGCATTTCATAGGGTATTTAGGGAGGGTACCTGGGGCACAGATCAGGCGCACAAAGCCCTGAGGCCAGGAATGCCCTTGGTAGCTGAGAAACAGGAGGGACAGTCGAGGCGGTCCCTATTGGAACCTGGGGCTCAGCTTCCAGTGAAGTAGGCAGCCATGTGGGAGGACCCGGGACCCGGGCACAGGCAAGGAGACCTGCTGGCAGGCCACCACCAGCATCTGGGGGAGAGGCGAGGTGCTAGGCGTGGCAGTTTCTGGGTGGTTCCGGGGGCCGAGCTGACACTGGTGTGGATGAGGAGGGGGCGGAAGTAAAGGGCGCGTGGATGACTGAGTCAGAACATCACGCACACTCTAAAGTGCACACGTCAGAACAGAAAGTGGCACTGCAAGGCCACACGGTGTACCCCCAAATACATGTCCCTCCAGAACCCCAGAATACAACCTTACTTGGAAATGGGTTTTTGTGAGCGGAATTAGTCAGGAATCTCAAGATGTGGTTATCCTGGGTGTTAAGGGGGCCCAAGTCCAGTGACTGTCTTTCAAAAGATGGGAGGGAAGAGGGGGCATGAGAGGAGCTGGAGAGTGGGGCCAGGAAGAGTGTGGCCCTCTCATGAAGAGAACCAGCTTGCCCTGGGAGGCTGATCTGCATTAGACACACAATTTTAGAGCGGGGCACTGGGTTCTTCCTGGGCAGGGCAGGGCCTGCCTGCCTGTGTCCAGGCGGAGGGCCTTGGGCCTTGGGCACTGGGCTGTGGGGTACCAGCTGGAGGAGCACACTCTAGACCTCCGCACAACTGTCCCAGACCGGAACACCCCATGATGTACCATGCTGCAAGGTTGGTTGTCTGGACAGCTTGTCCTGGCTCCTCACCTGCCAAGCCAGTTCGGCTGGGCACAGGTCAGATGCTGATGGGTCCTAGGATGTGGAGGGGAAGTTGCCAGGTCAGAGTCACAGAAAGCATATGTTGGCCAGGGATGTCACAGGACAGCCAGGAGATATGGGTGGGAGACAAGCCCACCTCCAGGGGACCTCAAGAACCCAAGGCTACCTGCAGGGAAGATAAGCACTGCCCAGGGCTCGTGTCTGCTCGGGTGAAACCTGCCTTCTTTTTTTTTTTCTGAGTTGGAGTGAGCGCCACTCCTGGTTCTATGACAAGCACACCAGCCCCCCAAGGCTCTCCCACTTCCCTAGACAGGGTGAGCGTCTGTTCCCACCACAGCCCTGCTAACCTGATAGGCAAGGATGAGGCAGACAGGAACCTGCAGGTAAAGGCACCATGCAGGGCTGGTGCTCAGGGTGGAGCTGGGAACTTAGGGAACTTTCGGGTCCTCCATCTACAGACCTGTTTCAGGAAAGGCCAGGACACCTCCAAGGCAGACACCTGGTGAACCAGCTACAGGGTGACAACCCACAGCAGGGCCTGAGCCTGAGGGATCATTGGGGCGCCTTGCCCGCCAACCCCAAGAGGCAGCAGATCCAGAGGGAATGAGAGGCTGAGGACCCAAGGGAAACATCCAGGAAGGGCTGCCAGACTGAAGCACCCAGAAAATATCACCAACTGTGGGAACAGAGGCAAACTGACAGGGCAGGCACCAGCCCAGGAAAGATAGGGGCGCCAGGCCACAGCACACAGACGTCTTCCTTGGGCAGAACCCACCCTTGCGAAGTCCACTTGGCGGTGGCTAGGGTGTTTGTATTAAGGATCGCTCCTGGCAGGAACAGTGAAAAGAGGGGCACATGGCTCCTGGCTGGGCCAGGGAAACCAACAGGCCACCTTTTACTAGGATGGGGCTGCTGCTCCCCAGTGTCTCCTGCACTGCTGGTCTTCTGGGATTTCAAGCAGGAGAAACCCACGTGGCCTGACCCCAGCCAATGTCCTGAACCCATCCCCAGCATTTCCCAGTCTCTGGGGCAGGTCTGGGGCTGCTGCGGGTACAGCCAAGATAGCAACCTGCTCCTCAGGAAGCCCTGGCACCCACCAGGGCTGACAGCAGGAGGGCCGGCCCACACCACTGGTACCTGACTCAGACACAGCCCAGGCCTCCATGTAACCTGCTAGGAGAGATGACTCCCCTCTGCTTACAGGAGATGGCTAGGAGACAGAGCCCAGGGATGGCAGGTTGACCAGTAGGGCCTGGGGCGAGGGGATGGGGGAGGGAACGGCTGGGGGGCTTCTTTTTGGGGTGATGAAAATGTCCCAAAATTAGATAGTGGTTATGGCTACACAATCTTCCAAATATTCTAAAATAACACTGGACTGTGCACTTAAGTGGTGAATGTTATGGTATGTGAATTATGTATCTCAATTAAAAAAGACTGGCAAAATGTGTTTCTAAAACAAAAGACAGAAGCCAGAAAAATCTAATGGAGAAGCTGAGTTTAGCTTTACCTTCCCAAATGAGAATAGAATGCCAGAGAGAAAAGTCATCATCTGGACATGACGGCAGGTACCTTCTGTGTGGTAGAGGTGTATAGGGCTTTCCACTGTCAGGAAAGTTCCAGGCACCCTCAGTAACTGCAACTCCACAGAGGGGGATGAAATTTCAGTGAAGGACACACAGCAAGACCCCAGAACACGGTCTGATGAGTCAGGAAGAACAGGTCTGCAGCCCATAGGAGGCTGGACTGCGCTCCGTAAAGGGCCAGCGGGAAGCACTGGGGGCCCCTCCAGGGCACAGGCCAGCACCAAGATGAAAGCCACTGATAATTAACGCTCTCAGGCCTGGTTCGACTCCACAGAATCCTTTGTGGTGGCAGAAAGAAAGCAAATAGATGCAAAGCCCATCCCAGCTCCTGGAAGCCAAGGACCTTTGAAATGGTAAGACGCTGGAATAAGGCCGGCAAAAGGACACTCCTGTTCTGGCTGCAGATTTGATAGGAGATCAAACAGAGTTGCTCTGAGAGTCAAGGCCCACTGCCTGGCACAGGTCCCGCTCCGCATGCAAGGCAGCCGCCTGGGATCCTCGGGGCTAATGTCACCTGCAGCAGTTATGTCTTCCAAAGGGCCTGGGGTCCCCCTGTCACCCGCTACGTCTTTTCGTCGCCTCCATGTTCTTTCCTAAGGGCTCTTGGGGACACGGCAGAGACATGAGATGGGGGGGGCTTCCACTGCACAGATGGGTAGCCACAGAGCTGGCCTCTAACTCCAGCTCATCTACAGCTTGGGGAGGCACCCAGGTGTGGCTGTGGCCATCAAGACTCAACAACAGAGATTGAAACCTCAGAAAGAGGCAGCGGCTTCTGGAATACAACAGCCCTAGGAGCCAACCCAGGCTCTCAGCTGCCATCCAGTCTTGGGAAGGCTGGGGGCATTTTCACAGGGTCATGGACACCCTGGTGACTGCCTAGCCTGGTGCAAGGGCTCCCTGCAAATTCCCACGAGGGAGCCAAGTGGCATTCAGCACTGCGGTGCCGGCACCCAACCCTTGCCCTCTCCTTCCACACCTGCCCACACACACCCTGCTGGAGCAGTGCCACGACCCCGCGCCTGCAGAGATGAGCCAGGGCCGTGTGACCTGCATCAAATATTAGAAGCATTCAGTCGTGAAGCCCAGGCCTCCCAGTACCCAGATTCCAGAGTAGAGTGCAGTTCTGGAAACAGGAAGGAGCTGGCCTCAGCTCTTCCTAGATGCTGACACTGGAGGGGTGGGGTGGCCGTCCCTGCTCCCTGATCCCACCCTCATGCAGCAGAGCAGCCCCTGAGAGGCCAGTCTTGGGTCCGTGGTGCCTAGGGTTGCTGGGTAGCTGGATAGCCTGGTCCCCTTGGAATCCAGAGTGTGGCCCCTGCGGCAGGCCATGAAGACATGCAGGTGCAGCGCCTTTCCAAGCTCACCCATGAGGCCACCATGTGGGGGAACCAGACAGTACCCATCAGCAGCAGACCCATCACCCTAATCGGGGTGTTAATGAGTACAAATGAGTCAGCACACTGGCAAGTGCAGAAACACTGGGCACAAGTGGGGTCGGGTAGTACGGAATGTTCCATCACCCAAGGGAACCCCAGGCCAGAGGTGGGGCACCTGGAGGCCAAGATGATGCAGCCAGGTGTGGCACTCCAATGTTTCCAAGGCACCTTCCTTTAGACGAGGCCCGGCCACCTCACAGTCAGGTCTGCTCGGGCCACGCCCACTACCACCTGAGAGGCTGGTGGCCCCGGCCCAGTTCGGCCTGTGCGTCGGCGTCATGCAGCTCCTTCAGGCGCTCCAGCAGCAGTTCCAGGTTCTCCCCAGTCACCGCCGACAGTGCAATGACCTCGTACCCCAAGCGGGCCTGGAGCTGGGATAGGTGGGCTCGGGCCTGTGGGAGGTCAATCTTGTTGCCAACAATGGCATGGGGTCTCTCCGACAGGCCCTCCTGGTACTTTTCCAGCTCAAACTTCAAGTCCTCAAGCTGTGTCCACGGCTCCGGCAGGCACAGGTCCAGTACAAACAGCAGGAGGCGGCAGCGCTCAATATGGCGGAGGAAAGCCAGGCCCAGGCCCCGGTTCTGGTGGGCACCGCGGACAAGGCCGGGGATGTCGGCCACTGTAGGAGACATGGGGTGGTCAGCCTCAGCACCAGGGACACGGGGAGGGAGCCCCGGAGCCACCTTGAAGGCCAGACTGCTAAGTTCTAAGACCTTCCTCTCCAGGAACACCTGGGAACAGGAGCCACCTCACACCTTGGTTGCTCACAGGGCCCCACTGTGCAAGGAATCTCAGCTTCATTCTGCAAAATGCTTTGAAATATTTGGGTGACAGGCATGATGATAGATCAATCTAATAAGAAATCCTGAACACATTCTTGTGTCTCTGGCTTCAAAACTGATTTTAAAAGGGGGAAATGGCTCCCTGTACTCTGTTAATAATTTGATTACTGATAGAAATTAATATAGAGTACTTTGCAAATATAAAGTGCTATACAAATAACCTTGCCAGCAGGCTTACTATTTTTAATGGGTACATTATCTTCTGGGAAAAAGTTTCATTCTCTCAAATGGCACAGGAAAAGCTTTTAAATCACATGCTGTCTACATGACTGGTGCTGCCACACTCCCAAGGAATGAAAGACGAAAACAAATGCAGAGAGGGAGAAGAAGCGACATCCTCAGGGCTGAACCTGCACTCTGGGTTCTGGATTGTGATCGGCGGGGTGGGCTGGGAACCTGATAGAATAGACTCACTACAATTGTTTAAATTAGGAAAAACAAGCCGGGCTCGGTGGCTCAGCCTGTAACCCCGTGCCTTGCAAGGTGAGTGGATTGCCTGAGCCCGCGGGTTCGAGACCCACCTGGGCAACTTGGCGAGA